AAGTATAAGTGTTGTTAATCTATTTTACCTCAATATATGTAGCCCAAACATCAGGTGTTGCATCTATTGTCTTGGTTGAATCATTCTACGCAAAGCCACTTTGATTCAAAAGGTAATATTACAAAATTCCGCTTGATTGTTTTCAGCCTATTTCGTATGTGTCATTGAGTACATTCAACTGAAAACTTAGTGCTAATAGCACGTGCCGCTGCAGTGTAAGCCGGTGATTTGAAACTTTTGTCAACATTGGATGTTTCCAAGGTTGACCTGCTCAGCAAGTGTGTCAATGAGTAAATTATCCATGTCCCTTGTCCAACTCATATTTGTTTTTCTAGTCTTGTTTTCAGGCTGAGAGCTAGAAGAGTCCATTTCTGTTTCATGCCAATCAAATGAACAATGCAAATCGACAATATATATCCATAACATCAATTAATACAAGGTATTTTTGTATAAATAGCAATAGGCAATTAATAAAATCAAACATCCTAATCAGTTAAAGAAGTGAGTGCACACAGAAAAAAGGTTATACAACAAAAGTTATATTAGAAAGAAAGAGTTAAACAACAGGAAGAAATTAATGTCGAGCCCTAGATCGATACAAGACATAATCAGCCCACATTTGGGTAGCTATTTCTTCTCTGAGACGAATTCATTCCCTTGATTGTTCATTTCTACTAGCTCGTTGAGATAGTTGGGAGTGTATTGTTTGCTCTATCTTCATTTAAATCATCAATTCCTGCATCATCTCAGTATCAATTGCTTCTCGATCATACTGACGCATGATGAAATCATACGGATCCACACCCATGACATGGTTGTGTAAGATGCGGCATGCAGACACAATATTCACCTGTGACTTAAAAGGGTAATGTTGCTGAGATACCAAAGATTGGAAAGCGTTTCTTCAATACCCCAAAGATCCGTTCAACGGCATTTCTAAGTGATGAGTGTCGAAGGTTGAACAGTTCTTTTGGGTTCTCGGGTTGATGTGCACCCCATTCCTTTAGATGGTATCGTGTGTTTCGATATGGAGTAATGAACCCCGTCTTTAATGAAAATCCTGCGTCTACAAGATAATATTTACCTATTTAAAATATAAAAAGTTAGAAAACACGTACATACTTACCTATTAAATAAAAATGTCTCTTGTGAGAGTTTATTACTACCTTGAGGGACTTCTAATTTATGCTCTCTCCTCAGAGCATTGTTCAGCATGTGAGAATCCGATGCGACACCATCCCAACCAGGTAATACATATGTGAACAACAAATTGAAAGTGCATGCAACAAGGATGTTTTGTGTGGGATAAGATTTACGACCTCGAAACCTAGCAACATCAGTAGAAGGGACTTTCACAGGGAGGTGTGAGCCATCGATTGCCCCAACACAATTCTGCCAATAGATTTAAGTTTTTTATTCTTCATTTTTTTGGGTGTATACGTCATAAAAAAGACTTTATCACTTAATTACCTTGAAATATGGCCAAAAATCATGTCGGTTTCTAATTTCTGGAGGTGTTTCAGTACCACTTGGTTGAATCAAGTACCTATCCTCCAAGCTCAACAAAGCATTCAATACGTTGTTGAAATGACGGCTCACAGTCTCACCAGACCAACTGAAATGAAAGCCCA